GGACTGCCAGTAGACTCTATACTGCCTCAGATTTAAAGACAGGGGCTGTGATGTAATTACTGTGTACGGATTAGTAAGCTAATATTTCACATCACTCCCTCATCACAAGTTCCCATCCTAGCTCATGAGTTATGCTTGTGTTCTTTCTCTTCTTTTTTTCTTTTGTACTTGTCCTCCTGTGTTTCCTCTTCCTTCCTTCTGTTTTTGCCTTATTGTCCTCCAACTGTGTGTCTCTCTCTCTTTCAGTGGCTAATCACCTTCATACCTCACGCTGAGTGTTCCAGTGTCCTCTCTCTTGTCTGGCAGCTCCCTCTTGTTTTGTTTGTCCTGTCTGACTGATCAGCTGTGATCAGACCTTCCTTACGAACATCTGCATTTGCGTCGGCATGATGCATTTGAGTCCTCACTTAGGGTGTACCCCTCTCTGATAAATGGAATGAGATTATAGTAACGTGCAACTTTAATGCATTACCTTGCAGCGGATTGAAATTTGGACATATATATGCATTAGTATCAGTGTTTTTTATGCTTTTATCGTTAATGCCAAATAGAGTAAATAAGTATAAGCTTTGACATACAAGCGTGCAAAAAACATATTTAGTCACACTTGTGTATTCAAGGAAGTATAGTCAAACAAACATGGAGGCAAGCTTTTTGCACACTTGTAGAAACTCTAAATATTCTACTTTTCCCCCCTTGCTGTTCTTTTTCTCACTCATGCATACTTGTTTATGCATTACACATGCACTGAGACACTAACAGGAAAAGCAGATTTTCTTAGTCTTGTTTGTGGCTCTTGCTGTTTGGTTCCATGCTGTGAATGTCAGTGGATTGCCTCAGACTTTAGAAATCAAACTGATGAATTAAAGGAAACCCTTAATGTTATATCATGTATGTCCCTGCTGATAAATGAAGTTGATTTAACCTCATTATGTAGTGACTGATTTCTTTTAAGTGACTTGTGAAACAATTAAGTAGCTGGTCTTGCATAAGTTTGTCTACATGGGATATTATAGCATACAAATGTGTATGCTATTGTTTCCCGACTTCCATTTCAGTTTCAATGTGTATATTTAAAAAGTATGACCAAGGAGTGGGCACCACACTGGTTAACGTCCCTGGAAATGCTTAGATGCTAGACAGGAAATTGGGGATGATTGATGAACCTAGGATGTAGCAGGCGTAATGTGAGCTTTATCATGATTGGGCAGCGATGAACTAATTATTTACTCTTTGTACCGATATTGGAAGAGCCATGTGAGTTTGTGCATCCAGTGTACATGTTTTCTATAAACTGGCAGAGGGCTTGTGAACATGTCCCTCAGGGTTTCCTGCGCAGGACTCTGCTGTTGATTTAACCCAGCCAGCCATCCACATCCAGGGGCAGAGCGGTTTTATGAATACTAATTCTCTGTTTAGTATTGCAGCCATTTTTTGCATAAGAAGAAGCATTAACTGCTCCCGTAAGAGCAGTGTGGAGCATTTTCAAGCAAAAATAGAATAGATAGAATAAATGTAAAGGAAAATTACAGTGCAAATGATACCAGAAGAACAACACCCTGAAAGAAATGAAAACAATAATGGAACTTTTCACTTGTTGTGGTGAAATCTAATTACATGTACATGTTGTCTTTCTTCCTAAAGACAGTACTACCCCGATCCCCATCCAGTCCATGGGATACAGCTGATGAGAGTTGGAAAGCTGCAGCATTACCTGGAAAACATCGAAGATGCTTTGGACACATTCAAACAGGTTTGAAGGACTAAATATCAACAAGGACATTTTTTACATTTTAAACTTTATTATTAGCTAATAGAACAAGTCTGGAGACATGTCTTTGTACCAGGTCATGTTAGTCTTAAGCCCTCGAAATGAAGGCAACGGGACTTCTTTTACGAACCAAAAACGAAGACCAGTTGCCTTCATGTCAGGCACCTAAGATCGTGTGGAGACATGTAACAGCAGAGATGATCAGGCAGGATTAAAAACATCTTTGGTTAGTTTTACAATAATCTCTAAAGTACTTAATCTTTAAGTAAAATGTCATGAAAACAGTTACTTTCAGTTTCCTTTATAGAATAGATTGTGTAGCATTATGTGATGATCCCGTTTCATTACATCGCCATACAAGATTGTTCTGGTACTAACAGGGAAGAAAGCTAGTTATGCTTATGTCTCCTATTCCAGGCTTATGGAATCGTAAAGTTCACCCATGGTGAAGATCACCCATTGACGACCGAACTAACGATGAAGATGAAGGAATGTCACAGTGAGATGGATCATCATTCCTCCAGCAGACGCTAAGACGAAGGCGAAAGAAACGTCTTCATGTAACTGATTTCACTGCCTTACGTTCTTTTTATTCATCAACCTGAATAAACGGATTTGTTATTTTGCCATCCATACCTGACCTTTATTGTCTCAACAGTCTTAAAGTAAGGAACTGTTGTTAAACTTTAATCCTAAAGTTTCTGCATCCTGTCCTTGTTTGAGAACTGGAGAGGAAGAAGCAGAGGGAGGGAGGAAAGCCCCTGTTGGCCCCGGTCTCCTCTGTAATCTGTAGATTCCATTGTGATGAGTGATCCTAGGGTGTGTGTGTGTGTGTTGGTTTAGTAAAGTACATACATCACCCTCTGTGCATTTCCATCACACATACTTCCCATGTTAATCCCTGTTTTTGTTTCTCTGCACACACACACAGTTTTCCCATGTTAATCCCAAAATTCTGCCATATGCAAACTGATGACACTATGTCCTAGGGGCGTGTGTGCACGAATGGGTGTTTTTCTGCCATCTTTCTCAGTCTTCTCAAAAAACTGAGCTGATTTTTTTCCTTTTGGCTCAAAATATTTTTTGTAATTATAGAAAAAAAAACTGTAGAAACGAGGTATCAACAGATTATTTTTCAACTTTGAAGAGAGAAACGATGCAAGCTTACTGTGTTTCAAAGACTGAGTGGACCCTAGTGGAGTGAATGGCCTGTGGGAGCCGTCTGTGCTGCTGCACCGCTCCTACCTACATTACTCACTTCATTGGTTTTGTTGCTTTCAGTCCTTCACTCGCTCACTTTTCCCATATAACATCCATCAAATGAGATTTAGTGTTTCTTAGCTATAACCTCCTGTCTCTCCCTCTCTGTCACTCACTGTCTCTCTTCCCCATTTATATCTCTCTCTCTCCAAAGGCTTTCAAATGAAATTCTCTATTTGCCGGAGTCTCTCTTTCTCTTTCACTACACGTCTCTGCAGGCAACCTGACCACACAGAAATAAAGAACACCAAATGTTTTTTTCTTTCTTTCACCACCTCAATTCATTCCCCCCTCTACCATTTACTCAGCCCCATTTTTTAATTTTCACATTTTCATTCTCATTTTCAGAGACACTCTATGTCACTGTTCCTCCCCCTGCACTACCTCACCTTTACTGTCACCTTACTCGCTATCTGCTAATATTATTCATTTCCTCTCGCTCCATCTTAATAACTCTCCTCTCCATAATTTACCTTTTCTTAAAGATACAAAAGTCAGAAGTTTTCCTACCAGAACTGTGGGATTTGTGTCTTATTTGGTTTTGGCTCACTGATGTTTGCTTTTACTCACTTTTGCTTCAGTACTTGATTATATTTAGGTAATTAAAAGCAAAAAAACCAAGCATTAACCTTGCAGCAAAATGATGCTTACCCAGTGTGTTTAAATGAAAGACCAAGAGGTCCTTTAAGTGTCCACATGTGACAAGTTAGTAGTCACATGTAATTTGGCGATGCTAGCAGCTTTGCCAAAATACAGTATTTGAGGCTGTGAGGATGAGAACGCTGTGGCTTTTTCAGTCCTTTGATTTAAGAGCAGACTTAAATCAAAGGACTGTGAAGCTTAATAGTAACTACCATTACTGCAGTCACCTGAAAACACTTAAACCTGTTCTCTGCATGTTGACTAAAAGTTGCACACTTGCTTTTTGAGGATTTTTAGCTATGCTAGAGTCACTATTCTTGCATTCATTGGTTCCCAATTTCTTAGGCTGTGTGTACACTCCACAAAAACCTAAGAGCTACAGCTCAGAGTCGACAGGCCTCAGTTAGCATGTTAAGTTCACGATAGTAAAATTAAAGACTGAACAGGTGTCACTTGTTTGGAAGGTTTGCCACAAGAAAGGTTCTTCTCTCTAAAAACAACAAAAAAAACATGGCCAGTTTTTGTAAGATTATAATTAATTAACAAACCACTTCTACAACAATGTGCTTAGATGAGACCAAAGTGGACATGCTGATGGACATAATTCAACGCACTCTTATCAGCTGTCAAGCACGGTGGGCTTATGTTGCAGCTACAAGAGTTGTAGTATTGAGTTGAGCTCTTCTGCAGTTATCTCATAGTATTAGTTACAAATCACCTAAAGGATCCTTCTTTTGCTACACTTTTAAAATACAGTACAGTGTAATCTTATATTGAATAATTTCACCTACTTTATTTCTCTTGTACAGTTTTGGTGCTTCTTCTTGTCACTCCTCTCTTCTTGGATAAAAAGCAGTCCTGTACTCGTCTTCTTTCTCACTTGTCTTCCTTTCTTCTTGCATTTCCCCCTTTGCTACCTTTATTCTTCTCTCGTCTCTAATCTATTATTTCTCCTCGCTCCCATTCCTGCCTTCTCCTCCTTCCTGTTCCCTGCCGTGCACTGATGATCAAAGCAGGCTCAACAGGGCATTACTGTATGTCACAGAAAAGCTGCCTACAGGGTACTCAAGGTCCACATTTATACATGCTCTGGAAACTAAATGATATTTTTGAGTTGTCCCAGTCCCTTGTTTATGTAAATCTAACAGCCCAATGCAATAACGTACAATGTTACGTGTTCCATGTTACATCATTTAAATTTCTGATGAGTTTGAGTCGTAATGCAAAAGATTTTTAGTTCATCAGAAGTGAAACAGCACGCCTTCTGGACATCTGCACACTACTTCGTCTATTCTGTGTGCAAAGAATGAAGCATCAGGTGTGAAACTCTTTTAATACATTCCTTTATTTACATCCCTCCATCTTTTTCTTCCGTCTTTACCATATGTCAGACCAGATTTCACAAAAACGGTAAATCTGCAGTGGACAATATGAGCACAGCGAGACTCCTGTGCACCATTTGTTCCACATTTACACTGATAATGTGTTGTTTTAAATAGAATTACTGAGGGTATTTAGCATGAATATGTCTCACAACTGGCATTTTTATCAAGAGACTGGAACAGAAAAGTGATTTTTTTATTTTTAGTTATCCAGAGATCTTCAAACAACTGACCCTGTGTCTTACAACTGAGCAAAGCAGAAGTTGACTCCTAATGCTAATGATAACATCTGTTTTTGGTAAATGTGGTCTGACCCGGACTTTAACACACAATGCTCCCTAAGATGCCTTGTATGAGATTTACAGATAGCACATTATAATTCTTAAATGTGTCTACAAAATATGCACCAGCACAGCATATTTGTCAGTTTATTCCATAGATCATGTGATGCTTATGTTGTGCAGAGTGACTTTGCAGATGGAAATCTGTGAATAACTTGATTTAAAACACCCCGCTATTCTTTTAGCTGTAATAGTTTCTAGCAATTTTTGATTATTACTACAATAATAAAGGGATATCCCATTAGATTTGGCAGTAACATATCAAGGAAGAAACCTCCCACATAGCATCTTAAAAAGGATAGTTCAATACAAGCCATTAGCTCATTTAGAGGTTAGATTTCCCAAAACACTCGCTGCTAATTACACAGGGCTGCAGTTCATAAGACACAGACGTTTCTCTTAAAGCAACACAGCTGCCTTCATACTGGAAGGCTTCTGATTTGCATGTAATCAACTAGCATCCCTGTTCTGCATGTGAATGTTTGGGGAACCAAACCCATTGAAATCCTCAAGAGGAACAACAGGAGCAAATGAAACCAACAACAAAAAAAATATCTAAAATAAAAATGATGGCATATATGCTATGTGCACAGTATATATATTTATATATGACATGGGCTCAGCAAAGTATGTACAGTTATTTTTCTTTTTCATCAATGCATAGTAACTTTGTAAGATCATGAGGTGTACGTAAATAAGAACATTAAGTAGCAACTCAAATAAATAAACTTTCATTCATGACTTGCACAATGAACACGGGGATAAAAACAGGAAATGATCAGAGATGCTCTTAAAAAACAAAAAAAGCCTCTCAAGTTTGTCAAAAGCGTCTTGCTCTCAGGGGTAATTTCTCACTAGATTATCTCTTGGCTATCCCCGCCAGTATGCACTACATGAAATCATTAGCTGATTCAGATCCACGTGAAGATAAAAACTTCACTGAATTAACTGTATTTTCTGTTTCAGCGACAGCACGTTCTGGTTTTTTGCTCTTAGTGGAGGAAAAAATCAGCACTACAACGCTTTTGACAAATTACACCAATACAGTGACATCATTTCCACTGCTCTCATGTCGCTCTCCCATAATGCTCTCTGCTCGACAACAACAGACACGATGACAGTGATGTAGAAGAAGCATTTGAAAGGCGTTGTTTTGTGTTTCAGGGGGAAATGGACTCTTTCGTATATTTATATTTGTACAAACATTTAGATCATAAGTATCTCAAGCACCATAGATAATAATACTAACAAATCTTAGGAGTTGCTATCCATCCAAAAAGTGGAACCAGGCAGAGATCTATGTCTTAAGCTCGTCTCCTCCCTTTTTAATTAGGTTCCTTTAATTTTTTTTATATAATTTAATTGTCCTTTACAATATAGGGGATATTAAAAGTGTTTAAACACCCTATAGCTGTAGTCCCAAAATATTGATTAAATCTACTACCTTGTTTCATTATAATTAAATGTTAAACACAGTATATTGACGCACCTGCGTGTCCCTCACAATTTATCTATAAATATGTCTCCAGATTTCGATTATCCTGCTCAATGCTACTATCGTACATAGTCTCTACATGGTCCCATTGCACTCAAATAAAAAAAGGATACCTTATTATAAAACACACACAATGACAAATCATTCAGTTTCTTTTAGAATAGAGCAGAACAACACAGATACGAATAACAGACAGACTGCCTGTGAGTCAGGCAGGGAGTCAGTCGTTGGTTGTATTTAACACCAGATCAGAGAGAAGTGTTTTCACCTCTACTACCTTCTGACATTTCATAGCTTTGTGAACATTAAAAATTTCTATCGAGGGAAACATCGTGTATGAATGCCCCGGAGGGCCAAGAGTCACATGTGCTCCGTTTGTGAGTAAAGCCAAAGTAAAAACGACACCACAGGATACCAGATTCAGTGTTTTTGTTTAAACACACATAACTTTGTGTCCGGGAAAAATGTTTAATGCTTTTAACTTTAGGTTTTTGGTCCTTCCAAGTTTAATTAAGTTAATCTGTAGTTTTCCTTTAAAGGGGACCTATTATGCTTTTCCTGTTGGGAATAAGTACGAAGAACTAAAATGGTGTTTCACAGAGGATCAACTGAGAGCACTTCACTGAGGCCCAGTATAAAATAAATAAGGATTATTTTGATCTGTTGCTCATGCAAAGCGGCTCCTGTGGAGTCCGAGAGTAAAAATAAAGAGCATAACAGGTCCACTTTAACGTTGTTTCTCTGATCTCTAATCAATGTACCAAAGACCATACATTGAAACACACATTATTAGTTTGTTTATCATATAGTGAAACACTGACCCACAGTAAAACATCACATTTAGAAAAGAAAATGAAAACTGCTTCCAAGGACACTGATCTTTTCTGGATGTTTCTATACTAGCACCATACTTACTTGTACACAAATTTAGAGAGAAGGAGACTTGGTCTTGGTATTGTTGAAATGTTCACAAGGCACTTCTAAATCGTTTCCTTCGTCCTCTTGTCATTCTCTCTCGGTTAGTCTCTTTTAGTCGCTGCACAACAATACCAGGCCACTCTGTAGTCAGCACTCCGTATTTACAGCCAAAGGCTTTTAACCATGTAAAAAATGTTCTTCCAAAATGTGTTAGATGTGAAATTATTCTTCTCTTGCACTTCAACTTCAGCTTTCTCCTTCTTACAAAATGGCAGTTTTTGTTCAGCTATAGCCTTTTTTTTTGCTCTCGGTACATTCTTTCAAAGTTTGACTCACTGCGTGTCACTGCGGTCCAATTATTTTGTTCTCTGGTTACTTGGTTTGACATGTCTTTTTAGACTCTCATACACTATTTGGGCAGCCATATTTTCTCTGATTGAAAGTAGCCCGTCCATTAGATAGTTTCTGAGGTTGTTTCCAAGCCCCAGCAAACAAATCTACAAATCTTGTCTGTTTTTCTGTTAATTTTTCTCCGTAAATCTTCTTTTGATTTTTCCGGCCACCTGGCCTTCTGCTTACTCACATCTGGACAAGACGCTGGAATAATATGCAGGATCATGCGGTCGGTCTATTCCTGTGTTCATCCTTCCAACTGTCGAGCTGCAGTTAAAGATTTTCTAAATGTGTTTGATTAGTCAGGGGAATGGTCTAGACATTGACATCGTCGAGGCCACTTCTCCGCCTCCATCTGTCTACTGATGCCTTGAGGACACATCAAAGCAGGTGATCATCATAAGATGGGCTTTGCAGAAGTTGACTCTGGTCTCCAGTTTGTCTGTCACTGTTTCCAGAGCCTCCAAATACTCCAATGAGTCCACTTCATAGGCCTGCTGCAGCTCAACTGGACACAAATAGAAAGGTGGAGAAAATACATCATTCCTTGATAAAGTGCTGTTGAATGTGGGTTTAATAATTAAAAAGGTGCCACTGGTTATATTTTACATGTTATTGTTAAAATGGAATAATGATAAATGTCATAATAATAATTTATAACAATTATGATTTAAGAAAAAAGAAGGCGGCCGATGAGTTAATCATCACTCTCTCTACACCGGTCACTGTTGTGAGCACCTCAGACTCCAACATCATAGCTGTAATGGGCTTGATATCAAACAGTGATGGCATTGCCTGCTGGTCTCAGATTATCGAATAATGTAAAGAGAAAAACTTCCAGCTAAATCCCTGCAAGTCCAAGGACCTCATAATGGACTTTACAAGAGAGTAGCAGAGGAAATTTGGCCCTCTCTGCATATTTGGGGCCCATGTGAAGAGGGTAGATAACTTTAAACACGGTAGTGTTTACATCACAAAGGACCTGTCATGGTCCTGACACATGAAATCCCTGGTGAAGAAAGCCCATCAGCACCTATAGCATCTCAGGTACCTAAGAGACTTTAAACTCCCACTCAGGGTGCACAGGAACTTCTACACCTGCATCTTGAGTGGGAATATCAACACCTGGATGGTTAGTTGCACCAAGCAGGTGGTCTGTTAGCTGAGAGAATCTTCAAGACCACCCTCCCCCATCTGTGGGACAGCGTAGAATAAGATCTCAGAGGATCAATAGGAACTCCAGCCCTTCTTTTATGGTTGCATGATTCATTATGTTGGTTGCACTTTTATTTCATATACAGCCCAATAGGTACATAACTGAATAATTAAGTCTGATGTAGCCTATTGCTACTTATGTAAAATCTGCATTATTATCCAAGAACTGTTACGATTAGGATTCACATCACAATTCACACATAAATCAGAGATTTATCCATTTTTTCATACCCGAGTTTGTTTGTACTTTGCAAAAAATGTACAAAAAGTGCCTCTGACCATTTATTCAAAGAAATGACAGCTAGCTATCTTAGCGAATTTAAACACAGCTGTATTAAATCACTACTACTTATTGATAATTATTATTATTATTAAATGTGTTTTCTTAAAAAGAAGATTAGGGCATGGCAGCATGCTGATTGTATGCAAAAGCCTGTTTAGATGATTCTGATTTACTAAATTGTACAGTAGTAAGAAAATGTCCTTACAGTGCAATTGAGGGCAATTAAGCCACACCCTTACAAAAAAACACAACAAAGCAAAACATTATTTCGTATCGTGAAAGTTTGCCCCATCAGATGCATCAATCTGCAACAACACAATCCTTCCCACAAATGCATTTGTGTCTATTGAAGTAAAATCTATAATGCCCAGTCACTTCATATTTTAATAATGAAATGACAGAATGTATTTGTCTGAAGAATGAACCAGCAGTCATGTAGCACAGCATTAGTAATTAACATGAGTCATATAAAATATAAAAATATGCATCATAACTTAAACATAATAGACTTATTTATTTCAGAATAATCCTCCACTAAAATCCTAAACAGTTTCTAACCTCCTTTGCTCTCTCACACACAGACCTGTATTCCCTGATGTGTCAGAGGTCCACACTTACACTCAGTGGTCCACTTGTGTGGCTCCAGCATCAAGTACTGTTTGGTTTGTTCCAGTTCTTTCTTGAGACACTGGTACTTGGCTCTGACTTCACTGATTCGCTGCTGGCGGTGCTCCAACAGACGAAGCTTGGCACTGACATACACCACCTCCTGACACACAGAGAAGGCAGACAGATAGACACGGATTTTATTTAGCTTTATTTTTTCAGAGGAGCGTGTTGTGAAACACAGGTGGGTCTCCTTCAGCAGCAGCACGCTTAAAATTCACACAGTTAAATACATTCGCACCTCATCGTCTCCCACTGTGGCTGCAGCTGAGCGCCTTCGGACACTGAGCAGCTTTCACTGGAACACGATTGTGGCTTTCTTAAGGTTGCTGCAGGGAAAATCTATATTTCATGCTTTTTCTCCATTTCTCTTTTCCAGTGCTCACAGTGCTCTCTCCTCTGATCACATAAAGGTTTAACAGTGGAAACCCCCCCAAAACCTGCATTCATTTACAACAATTTCCTAAGTTTAACAATTTTATTCTGCAAAGTCCTCAGAATTTAGAATCATTTTTTTAAGTAAGCCAAGATATGTAGATTTATTTAAAAAGTTCACTGTTCACACAGAACTAAATGCTAATGTTGAGCTATTCATGTTCTGAAAATCCTTGCTGTTGTATTTTTTAAAACCTTTTGGTTTCTTTCCACACTGTCACAACAACACAAATCCTTTTTCATCCATTGCCCAACCACCAGCTTCCTCTTCTGGGTTTCCATTAGCAGCAGTGTCCAACACTTATTGTTTTTTTAATGTGCTTCACCATCATTATTCATCAAATCAGTGTCACTGGAATCAAGAGCAATAGCCATCTTGCACTTCTGCTCTCCTTCACTCTTCTAAAGACATCCATTCATCCTTCCCCTTCAGTCAACCATAATAAATCCTAAAAGTTTTTTGCTATTTTCTTCTTCCTCCCTCTTTTACACGTGCTTCCTAGTCAGCCTCCTACATAACTGTAGTCCGGTGGGAACTAGATATTTTTAAAATGTGTCGAAATGAAGCTCTGAACACCGCATGTACAAATATCAAGTGGCAACAACCATCGTAACCGAGGATTGCTGAGTGGTGGCTCCAAAAACACTCCCAGTATCAACTTCCATTACAAATTCAATTAAATGTTCTAGTCACTCTGGTGTCATTAGTTCACTCTTCCTAATCAGTGTATTAGTGGCTATTTTTAGGCTTTAGAGAGAGAATGAGAGATACTGTTTGGATGAGGCAAGCCGGAAGTAAAGCTGGAATCCAAGAACCTGTTTTAGTTGAGAACTGGTGCCAAATTGTCTGGTTCATCTGAATAATAAATCACTTCCTGACATGGTTGATCTCATTACTGAGGTTTCAGCAGAACCAAGTCCGATTTAGCCTGTTTTTCTACTCTGATTCTACCCTGTATTCAGAGTCAGTCATAATAAAGTGCTACGTTAATGCTGGAAAGGAGGAACTGACAACCAATGAGATCTGTAGGCAGAACTGATAATGGCATTGACAACAATAAAATCTTGCTTAGATTATGATATGTTGTAATAATGTTTAATTTTCTTTTGTCCTCACTTGCTGGTGGTGTATGCAGAACTTTTCCATAGATGGTTTTGCTTTTCATCAGCGTGTCTTAATCAGTTTTGGGTTCACTGTAATTTTGTCCTGTTCTTTGAAAGTAATACCAGTAGACCCTCAGGGGATTCCACTATCCAAGAAAGTGAAAATATATTTTCTTTATGGTTTTAAATCTTAATGCACAAACTGTCACATTAAGTAAACTGCTTTAAATGTAACTCGTCTGTTAGCTTCTAGCTACACTCGCCTCCTCCACCCTGCTAATATTTGGAGCCTCGCCTGGCTCCAAGGAGACAAGATAGCACCAGACATTAACATTATTCTCTAGGCTTCAGTTTAGCTCTAATGCAAACTCACTGAGTGATATTATCAATATCCATCTTTACATACGCCACATGCTCCTTTACTAAAATGATATGCTGCTTCCTAAATTTGAAGTTTTGTTTTCCTGCAAACTGCCCAATAACAACGCACCCTGTGATGACACATATATGCCTGAATTTTTTACCTTTTGCCCATCACCCATTTAGGTTTTTGCTCAAGGACGTGTTGACATACGGGCAGGAAGAGATAAGGATCAAATTTCCAACCCTGCAATTTGTTGACCTGCTCCACCACTTGACCTACAACAGCTGTGCAGCTCAGGTGTCTTTCCTCCCTCCTCCCTCTCACCTTGCTCCCTCCTTTGTCCTTCCTTTTCTGCAGCCGTTCAACATCATCTATCTCGTACACCTTGATCTCAAAGGTTTCTGTTGTTGCGGTCACTGCCCGGAGGTTTGAGGGTGCAGGTGGCCCAAGTGGCCCGTCGACCCAGCATGCACCAGGGCTGGAGGAGGAGGAAGACGAGGACGTGATGGCTTGTTTGGAGGAACGGTGAGAAGGCGATGATGAAGAGGAGTCCAAGGTTAGTGCTGGGATCAGACGTCGACGCTGGAGACCTAAAAGAACAAATAAAAAGAAGATTACAGAAAGACTGTTACACACTGATGACAGGAATAGTGAAGTTTTGAGCTAAGACGATAAACTGTTCATATGAACGGCAGAATAAAAAGTGTCTTTTAATTCTAATTGAAGAAATATCGCATGTTTGGAGTTATATACATTCTACTTTTTGGTGCATTTTATATAGCATTGAAGTGCCAGGTTATAGAGTGCAAAAAAAGCTGAATATGTTTAAAAAATAACTGATCTGAGCCGATCTGATGCAGTTTTTTCCTAAATATACAAAGTGCCAAAGAATTTTTCAACTCTGCTTGTTTTATCTCATTCATATGCTTAGTTTGCTTGCAGTGCGTTTTACTCTCAAGATCACCATTAGTTTAGCTCCATAATCCTCAAACAGTGCATCAGTCCCTAGTGGTGTGGCACAGAGCCACCACAGGTGGGGTGTGGATGAACAGGAGAAAAATGCTAAATGAAACTAAGCTAAATGAAAATGGGAAAAACAAATACTGATATTATAGTGCTGAACTTTATTATTCACTAAAATAATTCTAGGGTGTAGTAATACCCAAAAGTGATGAGGTTCAAACCAACTATCAGAATGGGGACAAAGGAGGTCTGAAGTGACTCAGTGAGATCCTGCCAGATGTACTGGTCCTACCTAAGTCTAAGGAGCTGGGAAAGGAAAAAAAAAGTCTGGACTTCTTTAAGTTGCTTGAAGACGTTTCACCTCTCATCCGAGAAGTTTCTTCAGTTCTAAGGTCAAATGGTGGGGAGTCCCAGATTTAAGCCCTGTGGGAGTATTCCCCCAAGAGGGACACAAGGTGCATTGTTATTGGGCAGTTTGCAGGAAAACAAAACTTCACATTTAGGAAGCAGCATATCATTTTAGTAAAGGAACATGTGGCATATGCAATGATGGATATTTGTCCCTCTTGGTGGGATACCCCCACAGGGCTTAAATCTGGGACTCTCCACCATTTGACCCTAGAACTGAAGAAGCTTCTCGGATGAGAGGTGAAACGTCTTCAAGCAACTTAAAGAAATCCAGACGCCTTTTTCTTTCCAAACTTCTTAGACTACGATGACCTGGATGACTGAGAACCTTTAATGGTCCTACTGGAGTTTTCCCATACAACTATCTCTAGAGTTTATAGATAATGGTCAAAAAAACCCAGAACCCACAGAGAAGAGAATAACTGAACTGCTTTGAGCTAATAAGAACGCAGTAACTCAAATAACCAGTTGTTATAACCAATGTATCCAGAAGTGCATGTCCAAATGCACATGTCAAATCCTGAAGCAGATGGCAGAAAACCACACCGGGTGCTACTTCTGTCAGCTAAGAACGGAAAACTGAGGCTGTAAATCACCCAGACTCACAGAAATCGGGCAATAGAAGATCAGAAAACTGCTGCTGGGTCAGAGTTTGGTGTGAACAACATGAAAGCATAGATCCTTCCTGCTGTGCATCAATGGTTCAAGCTGCTGGTGGTAGTGACAGCACCCATTTAGTATAACTTAAATGACACAGCCTACCTGACTATTGTAGCTGACCATGTTTATCCCTTTATGATCACACTGTACACTTCTTCTAATAGCTGATTCCAGCAGGATATCACACTACAAAGTTAAAATCATCTTTAATGCGTTTCCTGAACACAACAATGAATTTAGTGTAGTCAAGCACCCTTCACGTACACCAGATCTCAAGCTAATTTGTGACGATATCATGTCAATATGAATTAAAATCTGTGAGGAATGTTTCCAGGACCTTGTTGACTCTTCGTCATGAAGAATTAAAAAGCTCTGAAGGCAAAGACAGGCCCAACCCTGTACTAACAATGTGAAACTACAGCAATGAAATGACCAATATTCACCCTCGGGGTCTTCAGACATAGCTAAATGGTAAATGGCCTGTATTTATATAGCGCTATACTAGTCCCTAAGGACCCCAAAGCGCTTTACATATCCAGTCATCCACCCATTCACACACACATTCACACACTGGTGATGGCAAGCTACATTGTAGCCACAGCCACCCTGGGGCGCACTGACAGAGGCGAGGCTGCCTGACACTGGCGCCACCGGGCCCTCTGACCACCACCAGTAGGCAACGGGTGAAGTGTCTTGCCCAAGGACACAACGACCGAGACTGTCCAAGCCGGGGCTCGAACCGGCAACCTTCCGATTACAAGGCGACCTCCCAACTCTTGAGCCACGATCGCCCCATATGAGCTATATGATCTTTTTTGATTTAACATATTTGACACATTCTTACATTTCTGTTAAATCATATTTGTTGTGTAGCAATGAAGAAAAAAAACTGGGAGACATTACTGGAACTATTTTATAGTACAGCAGTTTAGCTACAAGCTTTAGTCTTACATTGAACTGCAATATATCTGACATCTCTCTGCTAAGAAAAAAGACATCTTTCCAAATTTCAGATTCTTCCTTGAACGCAATAATAACCCCTTAAGTGTCGGTTCACTCAGTGGGCATACCTTTCTTGTTTTGCACAGACATGATCGGTGGGAGTGGGGAGGAAGACAGATAAAAGACTCACTGGAGAGAGACATAAAGGAGGGGACAAAAGAAAACTGTCGCGCGAGACAGAATGTGAAATTGATAATGGAGAAGTGAAGTGAGATAAATAAAAAAGCAGGTAGAGCTCATAGATAATAGCAGCGGGTCAGTCTCTAATCTAACCACTGCGCAACACTGAACACACGTGCGCTTTGCATGGAAATTTCCAGACATGTCAACAGGAATGAGAGTTATCAGATTCACCAGAAAGTCAGTGATAAGGTATGTGTGAGAGAGGGGAGAGGAAGTGCTGATTTTAATAAGGTTGCAGCTGTCTTTTGGTCTCGAAGCAGCGCATAAAGGTCAAGCAGAGACATTTGTATTTCATTAGGAAGCAGCATAGAACGGGACAGAGAAAGATTGAGTCTGCGGGGAGAGGAAGATGCGAGGGAAGCGAGCTGGATGAATGACAGAGAGATGGGGTGAATACGTGGAATATGAGGAGAGAGGTAAGCACATGAATCCAGCCTAATGAAAATCAAGGATAAAAAGAGAGACTCAGCTGGAGATGTAATTAACATTTCAGCTGGATATTGCCTCGGTCCTTTATACACATGCTCTTTCTGCCATTTTATTATTAAGAGTATAATCAGTTTTCTATCACCGGGGCTCAACTGTATCAATCGTTCCTCGCTTACTGGCTTCACCTTGATTCACAACAAACACAGAATAATCCTTCACACCTTTGTGTCATCTTGTGGCACTGTCGTGGCTCTTTGATCCACAGAATCGGTTGTGGTGAAAGCAAAATGAGAGTAAACCCGGAATTTACGCTGCATGGCAGGAGGTGAGACTGCTTCCCGCACACTTGGATGGAAAGGCTAATTCCCTTTCGAATCAATAATTAGACACACACTGGAAGGAGCTGCCTCTCTTCAATCTGATTTTTTATGCACATATCAATCCTCATGCTTAACCAATAGACAGTAATTTGGCAGGCACATTAGCAAGCTCTCTGTGTTCTGTTCTGGTGAATATATATTCATTACAGCCTACACCAGCAGATTCCCTTTTACCATTTCACAGATGACTGGTCAGGGTCACCTTACCTTACCCAGCACCTCCTGTAGCCACAGCTTTCTTCACATTTCCCTTAACTGTTCGCTTCTTTTGTTACAGTGCTTTTCAACATCACAAAGGTGTCTATTTCTATTTCCAGCACTTCTATGTTACTGTTGTTTTGAAAAATATATGATCAAAATTTCACGCCTAAAAATTTGTTTGTAAAAGTTAATATGGTAAAAGTGGGCAAGCATCACACATTGAGGATACATTGAATAGAAATGGTACAGATGTTGGATATATATTTATTCATGTAATTATAAAAACTAGCCATCTGGGTGGTTTTAGCGCAGGGTGTATTTAATTTCATGTTTTTAACGCTTGTGCTTGTGCCAGCTTAATTAGGAGTGCTAAGACACTTCGACTTGTTCAGAAGAAATTACCACTAGTTATGTTGAGGAAAATCCTAAATTTGCCTTCCTATAAAGAATAGCAAGCGGATTATCAGGTTTTAGTTGAGGGGTGAAGATGTTTATAAAACGCGATTTTGAAAATTTGTGTCGTGACCTGTGTTGCTCCTGCTCTTCTTGCTGCTTCTGGAGCTCCGTCGGGAGGAGGTGGTGGCTGAGCTGTGCTCACTGAGGGAGTCCTGAGCAGAGGAGGTACTTCCTGTGTTCTCACTGCTGTCTCTCAGCATGCTCTCATACCCACTGCTGCCTCCACTGTGGTAAAACAAAGCCGTCTTCCCCATTGCCGGAGGGAGCTCACCACTCAACACACTGCTGTTAGAGGCATTATGAGATCACAGTTAGAGATGAAGCAAAATACAGAAAAAATACATGTTTTATTTTGTGAAATTTAAGTTTCAAATTCCTCAGAGCCCTAAAGCTTGTACCTGTTGTCACTAGCATGGCCGCTACTGCAGCGGTGTGGTTTTCTGGGAGCTGTAATCTTGCTGTAGGGAGAAGGCAGTGTTTGTACCACTGCTGCCCTCTCCTCTCCCAGGCTATCTCCCCCACCGCCTCCTGCTCCACCTCCTCCTCCACCTCCTCCTCCACTGAGAACAAGGAAATAGGAAGCAGTAAATAACTTCGAACAGATTATTATCTGAATGAACTTAAATGTCACTTTGCCTTACAGTTTGCACCTTACATTATCACGACTTGCCAAAGTTACTCTTGCATAATATATGGATCTAATCTTGCATTTTATATTAGCTGTCCTATGAATAAATGAAAAATGCTTCCATAGGAACCACTAAATAGGTGTACAGTATATGTAAATATACTTTTATGATATAAAACTAACAAACCTTGTCCCTCTTTCCTCTGTTGGATCTGTGCCTCCTCCCTGAACATGACTCCTGGAACGGGAGCCAGCACTCCCCTGGAGTAGCTCTGAGATTCGACCGTTAACAGCTCGGAGAGGAAGCTTAGCAGCCAGACTTCCCCCTCGACTTCGACTCAGAGACTGGGTAGACCAGGACCCAGGGGCAGGTCCCTGCTGCTGCACAGGGGCCGGGACTGAACTCTGGGGCTAAAAAGACAAGTAAAGTGGTTTAGGTGGATGGAAGGAGAAATGTAAGCCAACATCCTTTAATTACTTTAAAGCAGCAATCCCAGTCCACGTGGGCCGGTTTCCCTGCAGGTTTTAGATGTGTCCTTGATCCATCACAGCTAATTTAAATGGACAAATTACCTTCTCAACATGTCTTGAAGTTCTCCAGAGGCCTGGTAATGAACTTATCATGTGATTCAGGTGTGTTGTTGACCCAGGGTGAGATCTGAAACCTGCAGGGACACCGGCCCTCGTGGACTGAGATTGGGGACCCTGCTTTAAAGGATGGACGTTAAAGCTAAACACAGTTTGAGGAAGGTCCTTAAATAATTTTAGCTAATTTTGTCTGATGAGCTTGTGGTTTACAGATGTTAAAGAAAGTGAGCACGGATCATTTACTTTGAAGAAATATTTATTCCTACCTTTCCATTAGGAGGAAGGCTGGAGCTCCGGCTGGAGCTTTGGCTTAAAGACTTAGTAGAGAAGCTCAGAGTCTTGGTGCTGGAGGCAGACAGACTCCTGGCCTTGGGACTGCTGGTCATCAGCAGCTTACTAACTGCTGATATCTTTGACTGGCTGCTGGTCTTAGCTGGTGACTGTGGAGCGCTGTTTGGACTGGTACTGCCACTAAAAAGGCTGCTGGTGTTTCCAGAAGAAGAAGATAGTGATCCAGCACGGTTGAGGCTGCGTCCAGTGCGAGGCATGGTGCTGTCTCCCTTCACTCCCCCTCCCCCTCTAAGACTCTCACCTCTCTCCAAGGAAAAGCAGTCATAATGATGGGAACCACTGTGTGAGCTGTGGACTCGGCCCAGAGAGTTGGTTCTGTTGGCAAGCTGCTCCAACTTGGCACTGAAAAGCCTACTACTGTCTATGCTGGAGCCTCGCTGTCGAGTTACTCCTGCAGGGCCACAGCCAGATACCCCTGCATCATCTGCCGAGTTCCCCTGCGATGAGACTCCATGTGTGGTTTGCTGGAGAGGGCTGGCTGCCCTGTTCCGCTGGTCTAGACTGGACTTTCGTACAGGCGGCAGCGGTGGGATTCCCCCTTTTTTATGAGAGAAAAAGCCCTGCTTTCCATTGGATCCCCAGCGATCAAGTGTGGCACGGGGACTACAAGGAGTTGAAGTGGTGACTCCAAGATTACGGTACTCGCTTCCATTGTCTAAGCCGTCATGGCGGTTGACACGGTGCCATCCGCGTGGTAGACTAGCGGTACGGTGGATATCTGGGTTATAAATACTAGTCAAGCATTCACCTTGGGCAACAACAGCCACCATCTCACAACCATCCACCACTCGCTTAAAAGAGTCTGGCGATGACACCACCTCACCACCTGAACTTGAACTGCCACGATCACCACCCCCACCATTTGCCTTATCTATTGAGTGGCCCTTCGAATGCTCTGCCTCCCTCTTCTCCAGTTTCCTTTCACACACTAGTTCCTTGGACTTTCCTTCTTCTGTACCACGTTTCAGCCAGGGGTCTTCAAAGCTCATCTCACTTGAAATAGATGCTATAAATGCTGCACTGGATTTGACTGGATCTTTCATAAAGTTGGCCTTTGTAGGTGAGGAGAGGATGGTGGCTTCCTGGACAACCATGGGTTTGACAGCTGCACATGGGTGAACAAGGATGTTGGTCTTGAAAGGAGCCATGTTGCCAGGTCCTGCCAGAATTTGTATGTTAGTTTTAGCCATGGAAGGAGGCAGTTTTCTCAGCCTTTCTTTAGTTGGAGTACCCTTATCACTCTGGTTCTCTGACAGAACCATTTCTCCTTCCAGACTCCCTCTTCTTGGGGTACCACCATTTTCATAACCATCCAGCGTCTCGATTCCAAAGTTGGGATCAGGATCAGCCAGTGCCTCCCCTTGCTGGCTCTGGGACTGGCTGAAGCTATGAAGAGACTGATCAGCTTCGCTGCCCGCGCTCAGATCACTCACCCAGGAAGAGTTGGGTGAACCACAGTTTGACATTCCTGTGGCTAAGGATTCACCTTCTGTCCGCAGCTTGGCCATTGCCACCTAAAACCAATCAAGTATGACATCTTGAAATCCAGAAACAATTATAAAATGTGGCTGTTAAAGTTTAAATAATGTCAAATCTATTTTATTTATGCAAATTCAAACCAAACGATCAAAGTAGCACTAACCTCTGCCATGGCAACAACATCTGAAACCCCCGAAGATGCTGCAGGACCTACAAGCATGTGATCCTCCACAACTCCATCTAAAGCAGTACAAATGGGTTGAGAGCCAGTAGCGAGGGCAGCTGCAGAGCCACAGTCACTGTTGAAGCTGATGATGCTTACTGGACGACCAGCCAAGCCTTCATTCTCAATGAGAGCAGTAATGTCAAGGTCCTCCTCACCTCCAGTAACCACAGTGTACACCAGTTCATCATCCCCAAGTACAAGAGGTCCAAGTGTTACTGCAGATGCTGCTGAACCTGAGACTCCTGGAAGAAAATATAAAGATAGAAAAAAGCGAAAGTTAATTTCTCAGTTCTTCATGGTCTTTATGTATATGCCGATCAGTTAAAAAAAAAAAAAAGTGGAAAAGAGTCATTCAGTTACGATGCAGTGTTATTCTAGGAAATGCTGGGTCCCTACAATCATGTGGACATAACCTTCAGACCCATGACTCCTGCAGACCAAGCACACCTCACATGCAAATATCCATCCCTGATGGCAGTAGCTACCTGCTGCACTGAGAGTTTGAAAAACTCCCCTTGGTCTCCAGATCTCCACATTCAATCAAGCATTTGAGGGATGCTCCAGAAGTAAACTGATCCTTGAAACCTCTCTGACACAACTCACAATAATCAAGAGATCTCCCGCCAACAATCCAGTTCCAGACACTTTAGAACAACCCCTGAGTCTTAACAGGTTACAGCTGTTTCAACATTTCTGCATGTGGTTTTGATAGAGCGCCTTATTGTCATTAAAACTGCAAGGATTACCCACAATGTACTTTCTCACCACTTTTCCTCATGTTAAAACAAGCTGTGTTTACTGGAACTTACCATCCTTGCTATCCAAAGGTATTGGTGGTACATCATCATCGCAGAGCGTCTCAGCTGAGCCCAGGCTGGCAGATAACGATGGAGTTGGCTCACGGACTTGTGGGCTCATCCCTGCAGGAGAACTCCTGGACAGCAGGGACTCTGTGGAGGAACGACCACTGTCTGCAGCCAAACTGTCTGTAGAATCAGAAACATCTGGCATTGTAATTTATTTTGTTTTCCAAGTGCAGGGAAATTGGCATCACGCTGAGAAGACAAGTTCAAACCAGTGATTATTATGCAGATAAACTGTGTCATACACAGGTGACTCAGCATGTGTCTTTTATGCATCCAGCATATATAAAACAGCAGTAACATTACCCGGGAAGAATTCACCGTTAATGAACGGGGAGATGCACATAAGAACAAATGTTTCTCATCATGATGCTTGAAACATGTCATCAAATGTTTCAAGCATCAGTTGCAAATTGCTTACTGATTTTTCTCAACTCGCCAGTATTTGTAAGACTTCTTGCATTTAAAACGAAAATAATTTTTTTTTTCCAATATTCTTCTAGTCTTTATCTCATCCAAATGGATGCAACATTAAATGGAGAGAACAAATTCACTTTTTTAGTGAAATTGGAGCACTATACAAAAATTATTTTTGTAATCTTAAAAGAAACTCATATACACCCTAAAGGATACTCTAGAACTGACCAGCCAAGAATTCACTGTAGCTTATTTCTGATATTTTTACTTGAAGTAGATGAGTATGATGGGTGGTGACAGGTAGTTGTAATGAAATGTTACTATTTAACCTAAAAAAAGGAAAATTTAGATTTAAACTGAAACTTAAACTGAGATAAGAAAATAAAAAGACAAAGGAGTGAAATGGAAAAGTAAAAATAATTAAATGTAATATCCATATATAGCATATATATGTATACATTAAAAAAAAAAATTAACACAGTTCTAAAGCGTAACTGTGTAAAAGAAAGAAAAGCATACTGTCTGACGTCAAAGCATCCGGGGCCTGGCCTTCCTGAGTGTTTGAGGATACAGGCTGCATTGCTGGAATGACACCCTTTTGGGTATACACTTTGCACCGCTGGGATGGGGATGATGGAGGCCTGAGAAGCAAGATAAAAATGAATTAGATTGCGCAAACTGAATTTTTGGCGCTGAACATTTACACATCAGAGCACTTGAGAGTTCTAGTACATAGCTTTATTTAACACTTTCCAAGTTTTGCTCAAAACAAAATGAAGATTTTTGCCATCAGCACTATGCTTCACTGTATATTTGCTTCACCTGTACTCTGAGGTTTTGGTCAGGCTGGCAATTCCAAGACGTGGTGATCCTAGAGGTCGTGACTTCCCCTCACAATTGCCGCCCGCCACATTCAGATTCTCATGACTGCACAAATGAGAGACAGTAAAAGCAATAAATCATGAATTAAACATATAAACATATTTCCTAAAGGCTAAGGGTAACATATGAAAAAGAGTACTGAATCTAAACCACCTGGTCTTACCTGTCATGTAGGTGGGAGTTCTTGGCTCTGTGCAGTGGGTTAGAGGTGATGCTGCTGCTTCCTGTAATGCTTCTGGTACTCGTAACTGTTGGGCAGCCAGAACTCTGAGTCAAGCTGTGGATCATTGTCTGGGCCAGCTCAGCCTCCTCCACCACCTCCTTGATCTCCTGCAGCTGCTGGTCATTGGTCCTCCTCCTGGACACCTGCACAGCCCCTCCTACATCACACGCAGGTTCTAGAAACAGAAGACCCAAAGGTGATTTACACGTTAACATACAGCACATGCAAAATATGAACGGAAGCATCATCATTATTCCTAATAATAATTGAACCTGTTTTGGCTTCTGTATCCAACACAGCTGGAGGGGCTGGAGCAGGAGCAGCAGCTGGAACAGATGAAGATGGACATGCCTCTTGTTTGACCCCTTGTTTGATAGCTGGAGCCTCTTCAAAGGGAAACTTTGCCACCTGCAAAAATGAACAGAGCGATGGGGAACAGAAGAGTAACAGACTATCATCAAAGGGAAAATTCTGAAATTATGTCGCTTTTATTTCTAAATTACAGTACACCGTTAATCACAACTTCAGTGATGGTGGAAGAGAATAAAAAAGATCACTTGAGCTCCAAACAACCTGCGCTATTGCCGTGCAAATATTGGGGTTCTGTATAAATATTTTCACAATAAGGTAATTTGTGAAAAGTAATTTGAATGTGTTATATCCAAACACAAATGGAAATACATGAGTATTGAAAGGCACAGAAAATTGCCACCACAAACAGCAGCTGTAACAACAATAAAAAAGCCGGACATGCAATGAACAAAATGCTAAGTAGATACAAACAGAACGCTTCTTTTTCATCTGAATAAATTGACAAAAATAGCTATCAAGCTTTCAATAGACCCCCTATTACAGATCCCATCATACTATGTCATCCTATTTGTATCTAAGATTTTTATTTGCACAATCACAACAAAAACAAGAGCAGAAGACAGTTCTTCACCTCCTCGCTGCCATCGATGCAGTCCAATCTCTCCTGCAGCTCAGCAAAGGTGTTGCACTTCAGGCATTCAGCTCCTTCCTCTGGGACAGGAGCCAGCGGCTGACCAAGTAGAGACTGAGAGGCTTGAGACAAAGGTTGTGAGGGGCCACTGGGCTGCTCGTCTGGCTGAGACTGCACCTGTTATAGAATTATTCTTCATCACAAATATTCTACTTAATAATGCTAAGTGTCTAATCTTTAAATGCACATATTTTCAAATTACCTTGTTCTGTGCCCCTGCTGCCTGATTTTGGCTTTGCTCTGAAGTTTTACCTCGAAGCAACGCAGGAATAATTGGTACAAATTCTGGGGGTCCCTCATTGTCCGTTAGCTCTCTGTCTGACACAGCTGCTCCATTCGGACCCACGTAGATGACTGTGTCGCATGACTGCTCGCTGCTGGAGTATTCGTCGGGGTCACTGGAGAGTCGCAGCAGCGGAAGGTCAGAGTCAGGGTCACCACGGTGATGGAAAGGTCGCAGGTGGGTCGGACGACGCATGCGACCCTCCTCGCAGGAGCTTTCTCCCCCAGAGGAGCTGGATGTGTATTGCTGAGAAGAGCCCAGATAATAAGGAAAGTGGAAGCAGAGAAGAGCGATGAGAGAGAAATGATTTCCTTTTGAGATTTGCAGAGTGAGATTGTCCTTTTTTTCTTTTCCTTTTAATTGACGGTTAGAGACCAGAAAGAAGGAGATGAGGGGATAACTAATATGGACCCAAGGCAGAAGATAAGAACTTCACTTCATTGCAGTTCAGTTTAACTTAATTCCTCCTATTTGTCTAGCATATTAGTAATAGAGTATCTTGTGGCTTGAAATGTCTTCTTTATTTTTAGAGCTGAAGCCCTCATTTTAACCTTTTGTCTTCTGCAGAACACTTTTGACATCTGTGAGCGCAAGAAGTCAATTTGTGTCAGCAGCAAACGGAGACAATAAGGTTAAATATTTTGTATAACTAGTTTCAACTTCTATAAAAGATTTTCACCTAAACTCCAAAAATTAAAACACTGCAGTGCACTGTCAGGGCAATGTGTGTTTCAGCATAAAATGAACCGTCAAAAAAGTAATTTATGTTTGTTTAAGACATTATACCTGGCACTTTACTTGTCTATATCTGGATAGTTTTATTATTTTAATGAAGCACGAAGAATGAAATAAAACTCACCACTGTGACTTTAGTTTTCTTCTTTTTCATGCGGAGCACCCGGGAAGCAATCTGAATAGTGGAGAGGGTTTCTGAGAAATCTCTAGGTGAGGCAGAGATGTGAGCAATCATGGTGGTCCGGCAGTTCATGTTGCCTAGCGACTCCCTTAGCAACATGGTCAGCTTTCTGTCCCTGGTTACACATATACACCGAGACGTGAGCATTGAAGACATGTTGTAAATACGCACAGTCACTTAAAGGTGTGACAAAACTGGTCGATTTTCTCACAAATGCCCACGTATGTTTTGGCTAAAGGGTATTAATAACTCTTCTTGGTCAGGTAGAGCATTTTCCACAAGTTAGAGAGTCTGCAACATTAACACAACACAAGGCTAACATGAAATTTAAATGAAAAAAGTACTTATAATCATTAGTTATTTTTCCGATTATTAATGCAAAAAGAGACAAACAATTTGCTAATTAAAGCTCACAGTTCACCTATTTAATATTTATCCTCTGACCTGTAGCACTTTTTAATCCATCTTTTGGTGTAGGTTGTGCAGCTTTTGAGATATTTGCTAGATGCAGATAGTACTTATCTTTCAGTTATGAAACACTCAGTTGCATGATCTGGTGACTTCAAAGTATCTGCAAACTTTTTTGTGAGCAGTTTAATATAGGAACTATTTTCTTTCCCTCTTCACTCTCAGTACTTTTGTATGTCACTACTGCTTGATTGATTGATTGATTGATTGATTGGTAATTTATTTCAACATGTGAACAATATACAAGTACATTTAGAAAAGAAATAAGAGAGAAAAAAATACTATACAAATTACATACAAAAAAACATTCTGATTAATTTACATGTTGAAAGGGAGTGGGAAGAAACTGCTTTCTGCTATAGTTTGTGTCCTTGTCTTTATATTCACTCTATTTGTTCTCTTCTGTTTTGCCCTCACACCTAACCAGTCTTGACAGATGTCTGACACTCTTTGAACCCTGTCTCTTCCTGTTAAAAGGGGGTTCTTCTTTCCCAATGTCACCAAGTGTTACTTATATCGCCTTGTTAGACTGATGGTTTTCAATGTGAAATTGTAGCATCTATTAAAAAATAAAACTGTCCGGACAGTTATCTATAATCTAATAACAAAAACGGCAGTCCTGTAACTTTGCAAAAATAAGTGCTTCTTGCTCTGAAAATGAGCCCAAAAGAGCTTCCAGTTCAAAAACTAGAGTTTGTGGACACACACTCTTAATGTTCAACTCCTGTCATACTGTGTCACATGTACATGCACGCTTCACTCTGGATAGCAATACAGTTGATGGGTGTAGTTTAGTGGAAAGAGATGAAGTCCTGCATGAAACTGCTCACAACAGAATTTTCTAATATCTCCAAGACAGTGCAGCTCATCACAAAACAATCTAGATGGATAAGCAGCACTCCAGACCAGTAGTAAAATATATACATTTGATTTTTGGTTGAACAGTCCCTTTAAAAGAGGCGCTCAGGGTATGATAAAGTCTAATATTGGGAGATGGTCTATGTCCCAGAGAGATTAAACGAGCAGATGGGAGAGTAAAACTAGGCTGTGTGTTTAAGAAAAGACTTTCTCCTGGGTGGGCTACTGCAATCATTCATAATGTTTGTGTGTGTGCTGAGGCCTGCAGGCTGACAGTGAGTACAGCTCCTCTGTGGCCCGATACCTCATGCTGCTGTCCCCCTTTTCTAAAAACACAGCCCGCAGTCAAGTCTTGCACACGTATGTGTACATTCACATGCGTGTATGTACACAACAGTGTACATACGCAAAATACGTACACGCTCCTATCTGACCGCCTCCTCTTTTTCATTATTGCTTTCTTTTTTTCTTTTCTGATTTCTCAGTTTGCTGCCTCGGGCTTCAACAAATCCTCCAGTCTCTGTCTCTCTCTTTCGAGCTATCTCTGCATATCTTCCTGAGATTAATGTAGGTAAACTAGTGACTCATGAAGTATTCATTTGGATGTTAATTCAAGTGCTGGGGATGTTGGATTGGGTCTTACCTATCAGCCTGTGCTAGATTTATTACAAGCTTTACCAGGCAGGAACATCGTATATGTAATATGACACTTTCTGTCATCTAAATTCCTGGATCACCACTGTTTCAGAAAATTCATATTAAGGCATTGAATAAGCAGCACTGTGGTACAGCTTTGCTCACAAATTTCTACTTAACTAAACTAATAAACTGAGAAAATCTAGAGTTCTAGTGTCAAAGAGATTTTGGCGAGAAGAGGAAAAAACTGCCCTTTGAGTGTCTTGATTGACAGAAAGACATGAGTGGGAAAGAGAAAACATTTTTTGGACAAGAAGTTGTGCAGCATCCACGATGAGGAAAGGGAATGTTTAGTAAATGTGTTAAGGGTCTTTGCAAGAGCATATTGTGACTGAAACATGGGTCTTTCAAGCATGTTGACTGCTGAATCGTGCCGAGACGCTTGGATTCTTACAGAAGGCAGTGCTGGTTGAACAGTCTGACTCTTTTTGTGAACTGGGAAGCTACAAAGTCCAAAAGTGTACTGATAAATGGTAGATTCACTGGTTACCTAGCAACAGTACTGGAACAGGACTGGGATTATAAAAACAGGATGGGACCCTATCCTGGAAGCAGTGAAGCATTGCAAGACAGGCTCAGCAACTGTGATGAAAGAAAATGAGCAGCCGGACTTTAAGCGTGTTTCGTTTGAGTCGAATATTTTCCCCTCAAAGGAAACAGCCTGCTATATGATTGCTTTGGTTTCTAGGGATGAGAAAGGTGATAGGAAATTCAGCTGATCAATCAGTTTGGTTGTGGGTGAAACAGAGGTGTGGACTCGAGTCACATGACTTGGACTCGAGTCAGACTCGAGTCATTAATTTTATGACTTTAGACTTGACTTGAAAAAATGTTCTAAGACTTGTGACTTGACTTGGACTTTTAAACCAATGACTTGGGACTTGAATTGGACTTGAACCGGTTTACTTGAAAAGACTTGATATTTCACCCCAAATATAAAATGTAACATGCATATTATATAGATTGAAAATATGACGTCATTCAGGGGTAGAACCGCAAAGGATTCTGGGAACTCGTGGCAAGAGGTACTAGCGCACGCAGGCTTTCAATTGAAACCAGTCACACAGCGATAAAAAGAAACACAAAAATGTCAAGAAGCCGTTGTATTATTAACTGCAATAGCCGGTCGCATGACAGCCACGGGAAGCCGACGGGTAAAGAGATCGGTTGTTATCGGATTACGTTGTTGAAGAGAAATTGTTTTGAGCCATGTTTCCGAAGTAACAAAGACGCGACGGGTGGCCTGGATTGCAACCATTCAAAGACCAAATATAACGTCCCAGAACACTCCAGCTCACAGGTTAGTCTGCTCCAAGCATTTACACGAAGGTCAGTGTTTTTTAGTAGTTAATGCGTCATTTTCATAACATAATTGGTGATATAGGTTACAAGCAAGTCTGGTGCTGAACAGAAATTGTCGCGCTATGCTCCTTTGTTTATTGTGCATAAATAGTGAATTGTCCTGACACAATATTGCGTTTCGCTTCTGTTATTATGGTACATTGACAAAAACATATACTTTTATTCACAGGATAAAACAGTTGTTTTGTATCACTAATTGCCCAGTACGATTACAGCATACAATATTATTGTCACTGCTACATTTCTGTGATGCTACCAGAAATTATTTCCACTGCTAATTAATTACCGTTGAGCTTAAAGGTCCTATAAATAAACGGTTAACGAATGTGTATTTATGACGACGATTTGTGAGACTGGTAAACTTATGATACGTACGATGGTCTTTCGTTCTACACGGTGCATTTCAAGGTCCTGCACCCATCCGGCGGTAAACTGTACCTGGGCTTGTTGCAGTGACCGGAAGTTACTAAACTTCATGAGTGTATGCACTCACTCCAAGAACCGTATGATTATAAATATGCATATAAATATGCTACGATGAGATAGCTGACTTCATCTAACTAGCAAATGTTGTCCAGGCTACGTTGGTGATACAGTTTTTTTTTAATATGTATGATATTTTTGTCATGCGATTTTAAAGCCGGTCCTACAACCGCATCCAAGAATAACATGCAGCTTATCTCAGAACTGTCGGTGAAAATTATTCTTGGAGCTAAGTTTAATTGAGCTGCATTTTAAAGAGGTGCAATTTCACAATTTGTGTATACTTTCTAAGTTCACTATTTTGTCATGTTTTGAGAAAAACACAGATTTAAAAATTACATGGTCTAATATTTACATTTAGCATAACTGCAACATGCTTTTTCGTTGTTTTTTTTTTAAAGACTCGAAAGGACTTGAAATTCAAAATTTCAGACTTGTGACTTGACTCGGACTTTTACACCAGTGACTTGAGACTCGACTCTGACTTGCCTGACATTACTTGAGACTTGACTTGAAACTTGAGGATAAAGACTTGAGACTTACTTGAGACTTGCAAAACAATGACTTGGTCCCACCTCTGGGGTGAAATACACTCATCAGTCACAACATTAAAACTAGAGAGAGGTGAAGTAAATTATGTTCTTCTGGTGGACCTTGGGATTTGGTAGCAGCCTCCATTAGCAGGGCAATGCACCTAACCACGCCACTGAAACGGTTCAGGATCAGCAGATGGAAAGTGACAGAGTGTGCCGTAGATCCCAGTCTGATCAAGCATCAGAAGGTGGTGCCAGCTGGAACAACTCTACAGGGACCACTGCCAACATCCTGGTACCTGACACAACAGGACTATAGACTGTATAGAAAAGATGGATGTAGCTTCTGGATCTGAAGATTCTGGAGAAGTGCCTGAGGGCAATCAGGTGGGAATTCCTTTAGTTAAAGAAAAAAACACTCTATAAAGAAGTCTAGTCTGTAAATGGTCCTTTGGTTCCTTTGTCTGGGACCTTATTTGGGACTTTCTCAGACATCTAACATGATTTTCACTTTATTTTGTAAAGTGGTCTCCAAAAAATCCAGTGTTACTGACTACCTTATGAGTGTGTTTGCTCGTCACGTCCACTTTCAAAGGGTCAATCGGACGAGGGTGAAAACCCTCAGCTCAAGGTTTTAACTCTCTAACTAATTAGTGACGTCACAATGTCTGTGTTCGTCCTTTATATACAGTTTATGCACAAGACACCATTATTTTACCTTATAAATAAATACCTTCATTATATTTTTAATATATATCCTCCACAAGCCCAACTTCAACAGTCTTAGTTCAATCAAAAAAACTCTTACTTCCTGGATTTATAAAAATGTGTCAGTAACACAGCATGGATTGTTAAAAACCAGTCAAATCCCATCACACTCCAAAAGTGTCTGAGTCACCAATGCCAAATCAGAGTCAGCAAAGCTGTGCTTAGAGCTTCAATGCTAAGTAGCAGGTTGTTTTGCAATGTAAATGCAAAAGCTTGTGATTAAATTAACCCAGCATGAGCACAGAGCTACACAGCCTTGAGCAGAGTGGAAGAGCAGAAGGGAAGCAGAGAGAAATTAGAAAAAAGGAGGGCATTTACAGTTTCACATCCCGTATTCTTACTGCCAGAGCAGGACTATGCATCACTTTAGCTGTTATGATTTCTTTTCCCCTGGTTCAAGTATTTTTATTTTCAAACAATTTCTTCTGGCTAGAGTTACTGGCTCTATCATCTTTGCCTTTTCCTCTCTCCTTTGCTGTCATTGGCAGTCAGTTAACCAACAAAATGAATGTGATGAATATGTAACACCAGCTGCTGTTGTTTATGACAGTAAATCCCCCAAACCTGAAGCAACTTATGAAATCTGCTACTATCCTTTCCTTTTTACCTCTCACATCAAGATCCTGCTTTCCACCTCAGCCTACCGTTCACTCTTCTCAACAGTTTAGTTCACCAGTTTCTGAATTTATCTTTATTCTCCTCTTAAATTTATGCATTAATTAGTCATACTCCCACTCACCCACACCCACCCATAAACACAAACACACACACCCACACGAACGTACTTATATGGGATGTGTTTGCTTCCATTGACCAGGGCCAGAATCACATTGCCGAGTGCAGACAGCGAAAGGCACAGAGGAGCCGAGCTGGGTGAAGAGTTCTCCCTGCTTTTCCCACCTCCTCCTCCTCCGAGTACTTTAACATCACAGCTGCCCAGGTCCAGCAGGTGGAGGCGACTGCGACCTCCTGACACTAGCAGACGAGAAAAGATGGCTCAAGATTGAAGGACAACTTAGAGTTGTTAATACAGTATACTGCATCTGTAAGAAATCTATATTAACAGTGACAGTAATAATATGAAGATAAACGTTTCCTAACATCAAACAAATCTTAATATTTGACAAAGATAACCCAAATAAATGCAAAATGTAGTTTTTGAAGGATTATTTAATTTATAAAGTAGAAGAAAAACTATGCAGACCTACCTGGCCCTATTTAAAGTTAGTAAGTATATAAAGTAATTGCCCCCTTGTTAAATCATGAATTAATGATGATTAACCGCATTTTTGGAAAAGCTGAGCTCAGTTTCTTAGCCACACTCTGGCCAGATTACTTTCTGTTGAATTAAGCAATTACAGAATATGAAGAACATGAAAAGGTTACATGAAAAAAGGCTACAAAATCAACACATGATGCTACAATTTAAAGAAATTCAAGAACAGACGAGAAACTAAGTCACTAACATCTATCAGTCTGGAAAGGGTTAAAAAGGCATTCTTACGGCTCTGGGACTTCAGTGAACCATAGTGAGAGCTATTATCCACAAATGGAGGAAACTTGGAACAGTGGTGAACTTTCACTGAGGTGGCTGACCTACTAAAATTACTCCAAGATTGAATTGATAACCCAACCAGAAGGTCACAAAATAACACAGAACAACACCTAAAGAACTGCAGGCCTCACTTAGCTTATTTAAGGTCAGTGTTCATGATTCAACAATAAGAAGGAGACTGGGCAAAAATGGCATCCATGGGAGAAAACCACTGCTGACCAATAAAGACATGACTTTTACTTTTTACAAGGTTTACATCCCATTAGATCTGACATAAAACTGATATAGTACTTCATAAGAAGAACATACAATCAAACACGGTGGTGGTAGTGTGATGGTCGGGGGCTGCTTTGTAGCTTCTGGATGTGGATGACTTCGTAATTTGTGGAACAATAAATTCTGCTGTCTACAGGACAACCCTGAAGCTCATGCAGGCCAAAAACTGATGCAGGGTTATGCAGCAGGACAGTAATTTGAAACACTGCAAATCTCGATCTGAGCGGCTCAAAATAATTAAATGAAGGTTTAAAGGTTTAGGGGATAATCACCTTTTCACACAGGACCAGGTAGGTCTGGGTAACGTTTCCCCTTAATAAATTAAATCATCATTTTAAAACTGTATTTTTGCATTTACTTAGGTTATTGTTCTCTAATATTAAATGTGTTTGATTGAAAGAAACATGCAAGTGTAACAAATGTCATTACAGTTATCATTCTTAAGCATTCACATTTCTCTCATACATACACAGATGCACACACATTACAGTTTATTTCATACACACACTTGTGTGTAACATAAATGGCCATAATCAGACATAATTTGGTCAAACATCTCTCAGGCATAAATAAAACCACTCATATGCTATGTGATTTGTTATAAAGACCAAAAATAACTGTTGGAAATGACTTTGATTAATATATTAAGGGATTGTGCGTTCAGTAAAAGGTGCATGTGCATCTCTGTTGCTGCAGTTTATTTGTAGCAACCATAATAGGAAGCATTTAGATCGATCTGCATATTGATCTGTCCTTCATTGTTCACTCCTTACTTTGGTCTCCAGTGTTCCACAATTTATTCATAGCAAACAATATGTTTCTGTCTGCTTTTATCCTACTGTGATTATCATAGTCACAACAAACAACAACTATTTTCCTGCAAAGGTGAGCGCAGTAGAAGTAATCGTTAAATGTTGCTATTGAGACATTTAATTGTTGCACCAGTAATAACAGTTTGAAACATCAGGGTTTAAGCATGCACTGCTTACTTCCTCCTTTTCCCGTCTTTTCCATGCGATACTGATATATGTGTAATGTAAAGAGCATATGTGAATTCCTGTGCTCTTCTTCAGTGGTGTTGGAGCGTTGGCTACTATGGCGAGCTGCTATGGCTGCATCCAGGAACCAGGCTGCCTTTTCTGGTGTTGGAGCGCGGAGCTCAGACTGGTTCTGCAGCTGGAAGAGTTTGGGGAAGAAAAAAAAGCATAACAATATTGCACTTTTACAGACGTGATAAGGAAGCAACCATGAGTAGCCAGAGGACAGGCAGTCAGACATGCCGAAAGACACTACTTCACCTTAGCTTGAGGGATTTGGTTTACCGAGGGAGAAGTGTTTAAACGCTGATAATATTGTGTACTGTGAGGATTCAGCGTGGCGGAAGACTGATTGGCATATTTTTAATAAATCATTTCTAATTTGTCTGCAGGTATGTGAGAAATAGAGGGAAGCAGACGTGAGTAATAGAGAGAGAGGAGGGAAGTGAGAGTGTGTGTGTGTGTGTGTGGTACTGCAGGATATCATTACTGATGAGATTATGTCAGATTAGTTAAGGATTACACAGATGTGTTTGTATCAGACCCTCTAATCCTATAAACATACAGTATGACTGAACACACACACATATACGGCTGCTAACCCATTGTCGCTCATTTGTTTTTGGTGTTCTTTTTACATTGACACGTTACTGAGACTACTGCTGTGCAGATACCTGCAAAGGGTGTTAATAATAGTGATGTTCATTAGAATTTTATTCACATAAGCCGTCTTTTGTTTTCTGAATCTTGGTTATTAAAGGTGTTTGTTTAGCTGCATGTAATTTTGAAAAGTCACTTAAAAAAACAAAAGTTTGAATAGACAATGAGCCTTTTGAGAGTTCTGGTTATTTTTCCAGTTTTGTTTGTGTCAAGTGTTTTTCTCTTGGCATCGTTTTCACAATCAGGTGAATGAATCATCCGACTGTTTCTGAATCATCTCTTTAAAAATACCTCATTTTGGCATTGTTGGATAAAAACAGGATGCTGAATGATCAAAGTCCCTTTTTTCCATTTGATGCACATCCACAGTACTGCCAGATGGACTCAAGAGCCCCATCATCAATAACATCGCCCATATTCAAATGTATCCATATAAAACTATTTTTATGTTCATTTATCAGTTGTGGTTATTGAGCTTAATGTAAATGATACTAGATCATCTCCAAGACGAGTGTCTGTGGGTTCACATGCAAGCCAAGACTGCAGAGAGCTGTTTGATGTGAAAACACATTTATACAGAGTCTGAATCTGTAAGGTTTAAACCCACAGGTACAAGTGACATGAACCAGTTCCAAGGTAAGCCGTGATGTTTTTAATTGTGTGTTTGTGCATGTGTACCTGCATGCCACAAATGGGGTCCTCACACAGGTAGACCCCAGGTGACTGCCCATCCTGTAAGCTGCCTGTAGCCACTTCAGATAACAAGTCTTTAAGGTTCTCCTCTTTTCCCCAAACCTGCACAAAAGCACAGATTATTTCAACAACAGTAGCTTCCTCATTTTATTTTCTCAGTTTTCTTAACATCTGTCTAGGATTAAATCTGGCCAGAAGAATCTTAAATTAAAATTTTACTTCACTGAGAGAAGACAGATACTAAAGATAGTTGACAGCTACTGCCAGTGCTTTTTAGAGACTATCAGTGCCCTGATTTGTCAAATGTCTGCATCAGGATTTGCACTCGTTTTTTTCTGCAGGGAATGTTTCAAATTAAGGTTTCATTGCGATCACTGACCTCAACTGCAGAGACGCGGACGGAGAAGCGTGCACCAGTTTTCTCTTTTCGCTCGTTGATGAGCTTAAACAACCAGGAAATGGCACAGGGGATTATACCCAGAGTCTGAAGAGAGTCATCGCGGCCGATCATCGTGTAAGATTTACCTGAATGAGAAAGCCAGAAAGACAATGGTGAACGGGAAATAAGCTGAAGATCTATCAAAAAGAACATCAACAGAAATAAGTGTGAATAGATGTGTGTGTGAAATGCACGTGTCTGTCCCTTTCAGTCACAAGATGATGATTATCCCTTTCCCACACCTGCTCTGGCTGTCAGAAGTTGGAGATCAAACACACACCTAAACAAAGCCATATGTCACACCTAACAATCACACCGATGGGAACACTTGCACGAAAGACAGACGACATCAAAAGCCTGACTCCTGTGATGCAGCGCAGAGAAATGTGTCTGATTTGTTCCGAGAAAGGACGGAGGGGAAGTTGTCATCTACAATGTAATTTTACATTGTTATTTCTGTGCATATTTCTGTGAATTGGTCTCATCAGGTTAATATACCTTTGCTATCAGAGAGAAAGTGAATATGTGTGAGGGAACATGGCAGAGCTGTTTCAGGAGTTCAAAGACATCCACACACGAGCTTATGCAGACACGCGCATTCATCATTACTAAGGACGGACACTACTCTAATAACGATAACAAAATCCATCACACATGACTCAAAGCAAGAGGATTCAATTCCTGAAGTTCATCCATTTGTTCAGGATCATTTAGACTTTTATTTAATTTTTCCTTTTTAATGAATTCCCTTTTGCTCACTGCAAAAATGTGCATGAGTGTGTAGTAGCTGGTCTGTGCCAGAATCCCCACATGTGTCTACAGCCAAGGGCCACAGAGCCGAAGGTAAATGCTCGTTGTGTTACTTTCCCCATTTTAATTAGTAAAAAGGTAATGCCATTATAATGCAGTCTCATTAAAATCCATGGCCTTAGGTGAGCTGGATCACAAAGAATTAACTCATCTGCTGCTACAGCAGCAGCCGTTTGAACATATACGAGTGAGGTCACGGCATTAATATAGCAGTAAAACTGATTGAGAAATTGATTTCAATCAAATAAAAGAGTTTGCAGTGTTATTAACATAATCAAACACCGGCAGCAGGATATTAGCTTCAGTCTTAGCCATATTACACAGGATGAATCACAAGCATCATAAATCACGAGACAGTCTGTATTTTGCATGTCAATATTTGACAGCTGAATGAAAATATGTATTCATGTTAAAATGACAAACGTGGATCTAGACAAGCTGTCGTATGTGCACTGTGCACCATGTTGTTTCTGTCCTGGGAGTGTGACGATTACATGTGCATCTGTTTGATTGATCTGTCCTGGATCCTATTTCTGCTATCATTCTGTGCTGACTGTGTAAACCCTAGTGGTGGTTTTCACATTTTTTATGTGCATGATCTATTTTTAATGCTATTTCATTAGATAGGATATTGGGCCACCGGGAGTTGTGATGGACTGCTCAAAGATGTCCGTATAGTGACCATTCTTACATTCACCATAAACAAAAAGTGGTAAAATATGAAGAAGTAGAGTGTTGAATATATTTGTTTTGCAATGACATCTTGTATAGTCAGACCTACTCTGTCATGTGTTTAAGAAGAAAACAGGAAGTCAGCAGCTCATCATCTGAGTCACAACCTTTAGATCATGATGACGCTTCATCAAATTTGTATATACACTTGATTTTTTAAAGTCTCTCCAGCTTTATTTTCTTAATTGAATTCCTACTAGCTTCCATTAAGTAGTTCCTGTGGTCCATATAAAGACATTGACAACACTGTTCACGCCATATTTGCAGCAAGGGAACCAATCAACCACCATCAATAGAAAAAAAAAGACAAATTAAAAGTTATCGAAATATTTGCTGTATTTTGCCATTTTAAAGAAAGCGATCGTTTGCCCATTCTCCACATCCTCACCAAGTTTTATGAAATTCAGCTGGGTAGTGTTTACATAATCTTGCTGACTGACTGTGGTTTGAGTTGAGCTGACTTTTTCTTCAGATTTGGCAAGATTTTGCTTCACAGCAACCAAACAGCGATTTACATGTTGATCTTTGCACTGCAGCGCCAGTCGAAGTGTCACATCTCTGCTGTTGTCATGCTCTGCAGTTCAAGGAGACTTAGAAACTCAAGCTGAAGGCTCACAAACTGAGAAGGGGAAATGCTGCTTGTGTTTACAAGGACAAACACAGCAGCGGCTGACCCACAGTCGATGAAGCCTTATTCGTGTGTGTGTCTGCGTGTTTGTGGTGGGTCTTTGTTTGTCTCAGTGTATGTCTGGGATCAGACATGTTGCACTATGCAGTGAGGGGCCTTGACCCTTTTTAAGAGAACTTCTCTGACAACCAGCTTCAGAAGGATTAGAGAGAGAAAAGGACAGAAACACAGACAGAGCAGACCGAGAATGCTTTCAGCTTCAGCAGACACTAATCCTCTTCTTTCTCTCTCTGATAGATGAGGGCTAGTGGAGCGACGGCCAAGTGAAGAGCCGACACACCGATGGTCACACTCACTAAAGAAGACTCACGAGCCAAGCTCTGATTTTGTAGTTTTTGTGTGTGTGTGTGTGCGTGTGTGAGAATTTTACCCAGTTTAGAGTGTCCAAAGCAGAAGACACAGCCATCTGCTCCGTTCACTACCGACTGAATGACCTCAGCAACTGTTCCTGCACACACTTCCGCCTAACACAGGAAGACAGAGGAATAAACAGGGTCAAGTAAATCAGAAATACATTCAATTTTAGACAAACATTATTCAAACTCGCGCTGGAGCTAGGATTCTGCTGTTTTGTTTTGATTTTTTAAACATCTGACTGTTGGTGTGGAGGAGATGACGGGCAACTTCCCTGTAATTGTCAGTATTACTGTGTTCTGGTTCTATAAATGTCTTAAAGAATCAGCATTTTCTTTGAAGCTTATCTCACTGGCTTATCCAGGGGAACACATCTCGCCTAGATTCATGCAAATGCACATACCGACCAAGCAGCGACCTCTGCGGCTCAAAAGTAAAGGTAATGTGCAAGTCAAAGACTTCTTTCAGATCATGTGTCTCAGTCCTACCTTATGCTTAGCATCCTCCTCTGTCACACCAACCAACTCTGCATGACCTCCTTCTCTACATCCATGTCACCTTTTTGGTCTTTCTCTTTTCCTCCTGCTTGGCAGCTCCATCTTTAACATCCTTTTTCCAAAATATCCACTATCCCTCTTCTGCCTGACTCTCTAACTTCTTCTCCAAAGCATCTGAGCTGTGCCTCCTCATTTTTAATCTCATCCATCTTAGTGAGTTCTGACTCCTGTCAGTTTGTTACTGCCACCGTCTCCAAACCATACATCATAGCAGGTGTCAGTGCCGTCTTGGAAAGCTTCCCTTTCACTCCTGCTGCTGTCATTCTGTCACAAATCACCCGATACTTGTCTTCATCCACTCCACTCTGCCTGCACTCTCTTCTTCACTCTCTTGTGCACTGTCCGTTTCTTTGGATCAATGATTCCAGGTGTTTAAACTTGTCCCCACTTACTACCTCTATTCTTTGCAACTTCACTGTTTTAGTCTCCAGACTTCTCTGTTAAATCCCCCAGCTCACATCCTCATGACACTGTTTGTGAAACTGTTGCTTTTTAGAGCATTTTAATGCAAAGATGTGACAAATAAAATAGCAGCTATGGTAGAGCCTGTCCAAGAAGCTCATAACTCAGTTTTTGAAAAGAAATTTCTGTATTTTATTAGTCTGTTACTAACAACAGTGTTTGTTTGCATTGCAACCGCACATTTTATCTACCAGCATGGTATCCAGTTCTTAACAAAATTTAAGAAGAGCGTGAAGTTCATAATTTTGTTTTTATTTATAGTCATTTTACCAGACTTTGTCACATAAAATGTCTCTGACCTGTGATGCATCAGGAGGGAACGCTGCATCAAAAGTGAACATCTTTGGTGGGACCTGATTGGCTCCGGCCCTTTTCTGAGAGGCAGCACTTTGCGTCTGATTTGCTGATGGGTCCATGATGGTGATTTGTTTCTTCCTGGGATCCACTTTGAGAAAGGAACTGGACTCGGCTGCATCAGACTGAGACACCGGGCAAACTCTCACCATCACTTTCACCTGAGGGTAAGACAATAAGCGAAAACAGAGGTTGTTTTTTAGAAAGGTAAATGCAGGATTATCAGTCAAAGCTTGATTCCCACCGTGCGTTTGGGAATCAGCTTGTTTGTTTGCAATTTTTCTGCAGGGGTGGATTTCTTTTGATCCAACAAAAACAAGAAAGTCAGCAGGGCACTCAGACAAACAGCAGTGTGAAAGTACATTGATACAGTCACACTTTCTGAGATAGTTTAGAAAACTTTGCCGGTGTCTGAGATCACTTGTCATGAAACATGAAGCAGTCTGACAAGCTTCTGTTGAGTTTCGGGTTCTCCTCATGCCAACCACCCATTTCTATTTCACTTTTAAAGCATGAACACTTTTTCCCCGCTAAAGAAATCTGCCTGTGTCAAAGCCATGAGCAGACCTTGTATGTATTACTGTGAAGTAGAGTTGCTGGAAGACATCTTCATGTTAGCTACAAACGACATAGAGCCACAAAACCAGAGTCACAAAAATTCCGCTTTTTAGTTCTGCGCTTATACAAGTCGTAACATGCTCTCTCTCCCTCTCATCACTTTACTCCCTCTAAGTACTTTTACCTCCCTCATCCCTTCCCCTCCTTTACCTGTCACTCTTTCGCTATCTCTTTCTCCTTCTCTCCTAAATCCCTTCCTTTTTTCTCTCTGTTCACACCTCTTCTCTACTTCCACTTCACTGCCACACATCAAAAGCCTGAATTGCAGGAATTCTATTTTAGCTTTCACTCCTCCTCTCCTTCGTCCTTTCCTCCCACTCCTGTCACAAACTGTTAGCAGCCGCAATTTGCCGCCTGGCAGCTGTTGTTGTTTTCTGTGATATCAGCGGCTGCAAAACGCAGCGTCATCGAATCTGACTGAGCTCCAGAACATTTTAACATATAAACAGCCCTGGTCTCTGTCGGTAAAAGGTGTTTTCAAGTTTGAAATACTTCCCAGCAGTTTATTGTTGCTCATCTTCTCCTTCCATTCCTCATCTGTGTGAATTTGTCTTTGTCTCTCTTTCTTGTTTGATGTCTCGCTGACTATATCGCTCTCTGATTCAGCCCGTCTGTCTTCCTCTTTTCATGTCTGTCACTAAATCTTCCTCCCTGCGATGCAGTACAGGATTATCCTGAAGATTTACATCACACTTCTCCTTTGACAATCGGGAGAGAGACTCGGTTGAAGCGGATGATTGGCACTGGGTGTCAGGTGCTCTTATGACTCAGTGTTAACCACACCAACTGTCTCAGCGGGTGATAGGAGCCAACCTGATTATTAAATGCATTTGATATTTTCACTGTGACATTGGATGAACTGTGTGGGAAGTGTGTGCCATCCTTAATGTCTTATATCTATTCAAATATCACAGATGTTTTGTGTCTCTGTTGCTTTGATACAGAATTTATGTCTCGGTCAATGTCAGATGCCTTTCATTGAACTGGTAGTACAAGCTGCCTGGAATTCTTCCTGTACCTTAAAATGTAAGTGTGAAAAATGAGAACTATTTAGTTTAGATATAATCAGTTATATTAGTGTGAATGTTACATTTTGATATCCTTGGTAGCCAGTGATTGGTCCGCCGGAGCCTCCACTCCTGGCTGCCGCCTGGCGCACAATGCACCCGACCCCCACTGCGCCACGTGTGGGTGGTGGGCCTGCAGGAGGATGGGCCTATGTCCCTTTTTTGGGCCCGGCCACTAGACGCTCATTTTCGGGCACCCTCCCCCGGGCCTGGCTCCAGGGCGGGGCCCCGGTAACCCTACTTTGGGCAGGGTGAACTGTTCGCTTGGTGTTCTGCTCATAGGGGTCCCTCACCCAGGACCAATTTGCAATGGGACACCCTACCAGGGAGCAGAAGCCCCCGGACAACATAGCCACTGGAATCTCTGGGACACACAAACCCCTCCACCACGATGAGGTAGCGATTACATCAAAAGGAGCCAGTTCAGGTGGTTTGGGCATCTGACAAGGATGCCTCCTGGGCGCCTCCTGGGTGAGGTGTTCTGGGAATGTCCCTCCGGGAGAAGGGCCCCGGGGCAGACCCGCTGGAGACATTATATCTCTCGGCTGACCTGGGAACACCTTGGTGTTCCCCTGGACAAGCTGGAGGAGGTGGCTGGGGAGAGAAAGGTCTGGGCTTCTCTGCTTAGGCTGCTGCCCCCACGACCCGGCCCCAGATAAGCAGAAGAAAATGGATGGATGTTACATTTTGTTCATTTGCAGTCATTCTCTTCACAACATGTTAATAGTGTTAATAGACAAAGTCACAGTATCAGAAATTTCCAAAAACCTTGGACACCGTGACGGTTTATGGCAAACGGCATGACAGATGTAGCAAACATCAGATCAGCTAATGACAGGCAGAATCTGAGAAGCAGCTACTGGTTAAGTCAAGAACTGGATTCAAACACTGAAACAGGATTAAGCATCTAACTTCACCCCCCGTGCAATATAACAGGTATAGTTACGTCCTTTTGAACAATGAAACTTTTTTGTTTTTGTGTCTTTTTGTTATTTGCCTCTTTACACCAACACAGTGGATTTTATATCAAACAAACAGGAGATGGTTAAAGTGCAGACTTTCAGCTGTACATCAAGGTAATACAAATATAACACATGAATTACATGCAATGGGGCAGAGTGTGAGTATTTCAACACCTGATGTCATAAGCTGAGAATTTGCAGGACAATATCAATTATATTATGATAATAGTTACAAAGTGTGCTAAGCTTTCAGTACTTCATATTGCACTGAGGCACTTAGTGAGAAAAAAAAATTCAGTGAACTCTGTTTTTATGTGTGTCATACCCTGTCATATTTTATATCTACGAGGCACAAAGGTGCCGGACACATGAAAAAGATGTGGCTCCTGTGAGGGAGAGAGAGCAGGAGAGAAATCATTTGTCTGTTTGTGCTTGTTAGCACAGATGAATCATCGCCTGAAGTGTGCTTTCAGTTAAACGTAACCATGGGATTACCCATCACACAGTAATCCCCAAAACTCCAAATCCTGCTGAGTATTAGCTTACTACAAGTAAAGTCAACAATGCATTTATGTGCGGTGCTTAAACGACTACCAGGTTCATGCCACAGGTTCTCTAAATTAACAGTGTTGGTAATTACCAAACTATATATATATATATAAATATATTTTTTTACTATAATGGTAACCCCAGCAGTATGCACAAGGTCTTTAGTTGGGCAGCTGTGGCTCAGGAGGTAGAACAGGTTGTTTACCAATCAGAAGCAGGATGGATAGATTCCCTGGCCACTCCAGTCTGCATGTCAACGTATATTTAGGTAAGACACTGAACCTTAAGAAGGAATTCTAGACAAAGAGGTTAGTTAGGTTTGTTTTCAGTTTGTTATTTGCCTAACAAATAATATAATTTTTAACAGATTTCTAAAAATATGTGGCGGGGCGTGGTCTGCAGTGCCACTGCAGGCGAGCGGACGCACCTGAGCGGCATCCGCAATCATGCCGGTGTCATGCCGCAATCGCCGGGTTTAAACTGTGAACTGGACCCTGTCATGGTGTTGTTGGTAGTGGAGTGCTCAGCTACGAGCTGAAAAGCTGCAGCTGTGTGTGTAGCGTGACAGCAACCGTTAGAGTTAATAAAAGCATGCTGAAAAGCACGAAACCTTCATCATGCCATGGCTTTGTTTCATATAAAAATTTTAATTTTCTGCCAGGTGGTCTAATAAGTGTGTTAGCACGCTAAGTAGGGGTCCCTGGCTGTGAAAATTTCAAAAAATTAAAAAATTTCAAGTGAAAATTGTCATCCATTACATTTCTGTGCTGTGAGATAATATCAACCTTACCTATATAAAGTAAATTTTCTGCCAAGGGAGGTTATTTCTGCTGCTATCATTTTTTTAAATAATAACTTTTAGCCAAGGGTGAAAGAGCTAAAAGTAATCAGAACAAAGTCATGTTAGACTGAACAAACCCACCCCGATTTATTAAAAATAAAAGCACGCTGCCAGGCTTTCTCTCGGTTGCATCACCAAATGACCACAGACCTTTTAAGAGTCGGTTCAACCAATTTTGTGAGTGTCGATCAAAGAGTGTGGCTGTTACCAGCTTTCTCATATGAAGTTAATAGCACATGTGGTTAAACCTTAAAGCCTGTCTATAGGTGAGGGCGTGAAATGAAGCGAGATACCAAATGCAATAAATGTGTAACGTTTGATGACCTTAAGAAAACTGAACATACTGAGCCTTAAAGTTGGGTTAATGTTTGTGCCAAAAAAATCAAATCAAATAAATAAATAAACATCTATACCTACAACACACACAAGCTCAATCTCTCCCACACAGTCTTAGCTTCAGTACTAAGCCCTCTCCTGACCCCAATAAAAGAGCCCATCACATGAGTAAGAGCCAAGGGGGAAGGATTTCACCAACGCATGCTTTACAAGGCGTAACTCATAAAGTCTTCCCCCCTAAGAGCCCATTTCCTCCTCATGTCCAAGAGTGTGGAAGGTGTTCATGTATGCGTGTATGTGTGTGAGACTGAGGTATAAGTGGGGCCAAAATGATGTTCCTATATGTTTTTCAAAAGATTAAATGAAATCGCAAGACCCACCAAGGGCCATTAACCTCACTTACCTTTTATACCAACAATAAAAAGCTCTGCAGTAATGATGGTGAACATCAAGAGGGAAACTATTTCTAAGTAAAATATAAAAAATATACCACAATAATTAAGGTCCCTTTGTACCACTACATACAGTGTAGTTCAACTTTTAATCACCAGCTTTGTTTTTCAGAAACATTTGGGCTCAGCACTCAGTTTAAGGCATTTAATCTGAGATGAGATCTGTAGTGAAATCATTTGTCTGCATGTTTTATAAAAACCCACACCCACAATAATCTCAGAGGATCCTTGGACTACTCGCTCTGGTGAATCAATAAATGTGGCGCAGCCAATATGAGATTTGCAGGAGGAACACAAAGCTAATGGGCTCTTTGCTCTGTTTAATGAAAAAGAAGG